AATTAAATCCTAGAAATAATAAAATGCTGCCATACAGGTAAGGAAATAGAATGACAAAACAAGTCTGGTCCTGTGTGCTTCAAGTCATCTGGAAAAATGTCTATTAAGTCACGAAAGGAGAAGACCTGAACCAGGAAGTAGCATGCTGGCGAGTTTGTAAACCTGGGGGAGGCAGGACAGAACATTCTCTGTAGTTTCTCAGCTTTTAGCTGTTTCATTATCGGGTTTGTTGCATCGTTTTTGTTTCTTTTCCCTAGTGATATTTTCTGCCTCCAAGGAGTTGCTCTTTTTCTTCTTGACAATGTTAGGATATCAGTGGCTGAAAGTCAGGGCGGACTATGCTTTTCAGCATTGGAAGATACTCATGTGCATGCAGCTATCATATGGTTTTGCTAAACAACTCAGTGCCTTTCAGGTCAGTATCTTCTTAGCAGCTGATAAGCATAATCAGTCAGTGGGTAGTACTTGGTTTTATTTTTGTTGATTGGCTATTTCCACATAAGCTGGGGTAGAGCTTCTTTTGGACTGAATGTCATGAAGTCATCTAGGCTAGGCACTGCACCAAGGCTGGCAATGTTGGTGCTCCATCCCGAACTCTGCCCCCCATTCCTTACCACCTTGTTGTGCCCAGTCCCCTCTCTTTCCTCTCATCTGTGAATTCTTCAGGCAGGAGCTTTGGTTCCCTGTGGTCTCAGCATGGTGTCAGTTCCCATCAGGGCTTAATTTCATTCAGTCCTCACAGTGTTATTGTTACTGTACAAGTGAGAAAATGGTGTGTCTGATATCATCTACCTCCACAAATCATCTCCTCAGGTTGAGGACTCCACTACCAGAGAGTTCTGAAAATTCTTGCAAATACAATAGAAAACTGCTTTCTCTTTTCCCCTGCATTTTAAATACAAACAGCATAATGTGGAAAACCTACATTATATTTTTCATTCCATACCTATGCAGTAGGTGATTGGCACAGTAAATTTAGTCACCCTGACAAAATAATTATTTCCCATGGGCCTGAAGAAAATTAGTAATTTTCAAAAGTATTTTAAAATTGAGCAGGGAGACAAAAGACCTGTTCACTCCTTAAGCCCAGTAAAAGCTCATTAGTGAGAATACAGTATAATTTTTGTTTTCTACAGTGGTTATCCAACAGCTGCCCCACATCTGATCCTTGCAATTTTCACAAGAGCGTATCACTGTAAACATGTTACTACCAATCCAGCTTTAATGTTTGGACTTCATGGAATATAATTGAGAGAGAATACGTTTATCCATTATAGTGACAATACAGAGAAATGCCCAGTAGCAGATACCTTGAAAGAGACAATAAGGCCATACTGTGGTATTTCTGTACTCTTGCTGTTCTGTGCCCTCCTGTAGTGTGCAGTTGCCAGCTGTTAATTAATTGTTTCAAGTTAAATACATCCATTCTGTAACAGAACTGCATTGAATTTCTTTCCAGTTTGTCAGATCTTTCTGTCTTACTCTTCCTCTGCTAGATCACGTTTATAGCTGGTAAATTGGTTTCTGAAATGCAGCCTCACACACTTCGGTTTTGAGTTAGCTTTCTTCTCTGCAGGACACTGCTATATACTGTACCTTTAAGTACCCAAAATCAATTTAATTAAATTTCATTACAGGCACTAGAGCTGAAACAAACTAATGAAAGCCGCCATCACGTCAGGTGGTATTTATCTCGGCATTAAATTGAAAATACTCCCTTTAGGCTCTTAAAAATTAGTTTCAATATTTAACGCTAATAGCTTTTGGAATTGTTGATGGGGATAGTTTTAATAAATTTGTTACAAACTGTTTACCTTTCCATAGAAAAAAGCTTTTTCCTCATGGCATAAGGGAACTTAAGATAGATGACTTAAAAGTGTTAGGATTTTGAAATACTGTGAGGTCTGGGAGCTGCCCATAATGCTGTTGAAAAACACCATGAAGGTTGTCGTGCAGTGACAGCAATATGCCTTGTTTAGACAAAAGCAGTGGCAGTCACCACAATACTGGGGTTAGTTTATTGTTTGCCTGACTTGTTTTATTGAGCTGATCAGGCTTACAAGCTTGAAAGTTTGTAGCAGATTTTATTTGAAGACCTCACTACAAGCACTACTTTTGGCAGAGAGAAAAATGAAAACTTGCAGGGAGAAGAAAAAACATCTGCCACACAGAAGAATGCTATTGCTTGCGCCCCAGCTACAACTGGATTTTGTTCTCTCACTGTTCAGACACCTTGCAGTGCTGTTTCAGAGGAAGCAACATTGACAAAGTACCTGTTGATACTCTGCAGAACAAAACTGGTGCCACGCAGTCTTCCTGTAGAGTTGTTGGACTGTGCAGATAACAGTGGAATTCATCCAGTTCCCATCAGAAGCAGGGTTCAGGTATTAATGTGAAAAATACAGTTGGAATAAACAACAGGAAGAAACATTTAGGGGAAGATTTCGGTCACTTTTTTTCTGACCCATGTGCCAGGGGCTCATTTCAGGGAAGTGAAAGTGCAAAAGGAGTGTGTTATCTGGCCATGCATGTATCCAGATTCACAAAGCTGGGAGCATTTATGACTTGCACTATGTAAGTGTGACTGATGTCTCCTCCTGCAGGCAGGCAGTAAGAAATAGTCTATTCTCTTTTATCTGATCTGGAGTCTGCCTTCTTGTTATCTTACTCTTTGTCAGTCTCGTTAAGAAAAAATAAATGATAAGAAAACTGTAAAAGTAAATTATAGAGAGTCACCTTTCTGGTAAGAACATCTGACCCCAGAAGAGGAAGAAGGGAACCATTTTTCTTCAGCAGGATAAAAGCATGGGCTTCTCACATGTTTGCTGCTTCATTTTTATAGTAGAGAAATCACTGTGCAAGTTATTATTAACAGGAGAAGGAAAAATAATGCTAAGTATGTTATTTACAGTATTGATGCTTCGATAAGATTATTGTGCTTAAGTTATTATAGCTATTCTATAACTAATAGTTCTTAAACTATTAGTTCTTTAAAAATATGCATTTTATATATATACATTATATATATGTACATATCTTGAAAACTTTCTATTATTTTTCAGTTTGATTTAAGAATGTAGGGCTTTACATATGTTTTTGTTGGTGTTTCTTATTGATGCTCCCTCTAGGTTGGAGGATGCAGCTTGTGTAAAAGTAGTGTTGTACATGAGAGATCAGATATAGAAAATGTTGGTTTAAGCAAGTTGTATTAAAGATTAACTGTTTCTTCTATCATCTTGCTTTTTTTTTATTACTTAACTGGTTTTAATCCTTACATTTTCTTGTATGACTGTCATGAAATATGAGGTGCAGTTCAGTGAAGTGTCCTTAAACTGTAGTGATTTCTGTGAGCAAGCACCCACTATCAACTCAAGGGAAAGTCATTACTACTGTGAAAGCTGCAGCCCAGACTTTTCACTTCTTATTTCTTCTGAGATTACAACTCAGATACATCCATGTTTATACAAATGTGCTATGTAAGGAGTACAAGAATTCAGAATCTGTAGTTAGGTGTCACAGTTAGGTGTCATAGGTAGACAATCTATGTATTTCCCTCTACATCAGCTGTGAGTACCTTCTTCCTGCTGTGTCACACTCTTGCTGAGTTCCCTTTCCTGAAAGTTTAGTGGAATAGGGATATTCAAGCCATTTTCTGTTGCAATTCTGAGAGCCATGTACCCATGATTTCTGGAGAGAGAACAAAGTGAGACACATGCCTTGGGCAAAGGCAGAGGATGAGAGGGAGTGGGGTTCAAGACTGGATGTCTGGAGTAGTCTGGGGGGGTGGGGGAGGTACTCTTTACCACCCCAACAGAGAAATATTTTTCTATAAGCAAGAGGAAAATTGGGGTTTGGTAATATTTTATTGATTTTATTTTTATACGGCATTTCACTGCAACAATTTTGTTTACTGCTTGTGCCAGGCACTTGATTCCGTTTTCACTAAGCCCAACAAAAAGTTAGCATTTTTAAAAGGCTTATGCCTTTAGTGTGAGACTGGGAAAACTGTGTTACTGATTTAGATTTAGTATTAAGCAGTTATGAAGACAAAATCTATCAGTACTTGAAGACATTTGAAACACTGTTCAAGATGAGGTTGAATGGGCCCTTGAGCAACCTTGTCTGGTGGAAGGTGTCCCTGCCTGTTGCAGGAGGTTGGAAATAGATGATCTTTAAGGTCCTTTCCAACCCAAACCATTCTGTGATTCTATGATTGTAAGAAGAGCAGTAGCAAAAGTCAGTTTATTCTCTCATGATACTTTCAAACTATTCTCAGTATCCTTTTAAAAATTTAAATTACGTTATTTTGGATTATCGCATTATACTATGGTGCTGGAATAAAACATGAACAAATTCAAATATCTTTTATTTCTGAACTATCTGTTTCTAGTATTTGTATTTCTCTCTTTGGTTGGGTTTTTTTGATACATCACCATTACCACAGCTTTAAGTAGAAGGAATAGTATTCCTTTCTGTACATCTTGGGGAAAAAATGCAATGAGAAGAATGCACTGATTCTTTTTCCTGCACATGTGAATAAATGTACAGTTAATATAACTGTTCCCATCTACTTACTCCAAAACTTCCTTATAAGATAGAAATGGTTCAAAGCAAAAGCTGGTTTTCACCATGAAAACAAGCAGTCTTGTTTGGATTTGGAATTTTCATAGCCAGAATGACATTTGGAATGTGAAAATAGAGGCATGGAAAAAGACAGCTATTAAACAAATAGCCTAAAATGTTGTTCAGTGTTATAGTAATTTGGGTGTTTCAGAAATGTGTTACTTTGTAGCACTTTCTGAATTTTGATATTTCTTCTGGTATGTCAGTACAGTCAGTATGTTGTATCCTGCACCACTATTTGCCACCCAGTGGCAGGGAAGAGATAGTAGCCTACTTACATATATGTAGTGAAAACACTAGAGAAAATTTCTCTGTGCTTAAAATGGGGGCATGTACAGCATTTTCACTGACTACTGTCATAATATTTGATGTTGCAGGATGGATGGTCACAATATCACTTTGTAGCCTCATCTTCAACAATAGAAAGGGATCGGCAAAGACCGTACTCTTCATCACGCACGCCCTCCATCTCTCCTGTGCGCATGTCTCCTAACAACCGCTCAGGTAAGATCAGGCTTTCAGGACTGAGGTAAAGACAGAAGTAATGCACCACTGTCATTTTCTTTCTTTAAGCAATGTTACTGACATCCAGATTTGTTGTTAACAGTGGTGGAAAGGCACAAAATACATTTTTTACTCTTACCTGAATTATCTGTTCAAAACAGGAAGTTTATTTTTTTTATTAACACCTTTTAAAGTTTTACAGCAGGAAGAATATTCCATAACTTGTTATCAATTCTCATGCATTGTTTTCCTGATTTGGATTACCTGACTCGATCTCAGAGCAGTGGTGCCCATGAAGGAAATGTACATGAGGAAATTTTGTTACTTAATTTTCTAGTTGTTAATGACGACTTGGAAGTCATCTTGGAACACTTAGAAGTTGTTGAAGGATCCATATTATTTTTTGTCAGCTTTTATTCTGAGTATATGTGTATGTATATATAACTTATGCATACACATGTATGGATAAGTTTCACAAGAGATTGACTAAGGGTCTTCATGTAAGGTTGATGGCATATTTACAGCAGCTATCATTAGTTCTATATGATCCATACAATGAATTAATGTAATTTTCTCAACTTACACTGCAATGTTAATTTTTCTATTCATAAATCTGGGCATTTTTCCCTCTATTCTAAGGCATAGCATATGTTAGACATGCTAGTTAGATAAAATCATTCCCAAATAAAATCTTTAAACAGCCTTTCAATGTGCTTTTCACTACTTGTTCAGTCAAATCCTGTCAATCCATAGGTATACTAATAATTTAGGATTAAAATTGGCCAAACTGATTATTGCAGTGAGCATCATGACATAGTTTTGTTTCTAAGAAATATCCTTCTTTTAATTACCTAGCAGCTGCATCTTAGTCCTGCAGAATGACCTCTGAGAAATTTGAAAATGTAGCCTGAAGTACAGTGAGAGCTGCTATTCAGTTCTCAAAATCCATCATTACACGAGTCCGTAAAGGGCTGTTGTTCCTTTTTTCCTTCTCCAAAATCTCATTTTGACTGTAAGTACAAGACACTTGAAATGTCTGGCCCAAGATCTTAGTTCTGTCTCTTTCCAGAGCTGTCTCTTCACTTATGTTACTTTGTTGCTTATAGAATATACTCTAGAGAAATTCTGGATGAAATCTTACTGCCATCATCAGTATCATAAGACTGTAAAAAGAATAATATACTGCTGGTTTCTGAAGGAAGAGGACCCATGTAATTACAGACCAGTCAGCCCAACTTTGTTCTAGAAAACTGCTGTAACAAATAATCACAATCTGAGCATCTCAAAAGAGTAGGAACGCAAGATACTGCTTAACTCTAGGAGTATCTGTTTCTACACAGCATAAGTTACTGTCTGACTAGTAGTATCCGTATCAAATCCAAGCATTGGTTTAGTACGATTTGTTCTTACAAAATGCACCTGAATTCCTGCTACAACATAGTTAAAGCACTTTATGGAAACAATAGTCAGTAAATGAAATCTACTGTAATCAGTAAGACTTTTTCAGAAAATAATTTTATAGGCAAGCTAGGGCAACCTGGCAAACAGTCCAGAAAGTGTGATGTGTGATAAATAAAAAACTGACTAAAAGCCATTCAGAAAGAATGGGTATTGTTTATTGCCAAAATGGAGGAATGCTTTACTTGGAGGTTTGCCTGAGTCCTAGTAGTCTTCGGTGGCTTCATTAACAGCCCAAATAATACATAAAAGGTGCCTATTACCTTTGCAGGTGCTAGAAACCTGGGAGAAACACATGTACCTTAAAGGTCAATATTGGAATTCAGAGTGATACTGAGAAATTGGAGATACTGTCCAAAGGGAAAAAAAGATCCAGTTCTTTACAAATAAATTATAAGGAGAATAGCTGGCTGGACAAAAGTTATTTTGGAATTATTTAGGGATTTTTTTGTCAGTTGCACACATGAATCATGAGATGGAGAAATCAGGGCATGAAAACCACTGCATGTACTGTAATTGTTTAACTCAAATAAGAGACATGAGATGGGGGCAGCAGGAAGAGGTACACACCAAGTATCCAAGCCAGCTGTGAAGAGGGACAGTGTAAACTTTCTCTACTTTCATAGCAGGCAGCTGGAAATAATGAGCAGCGAAGAGTCACGCTAGACATCAGGAACATTTCCTAACAGGAGGGAAACAAAACACTGGAACAGACTGCTTGGAGCAGTTATGTGATCTCTGTCATTAGAGATCTTTAGTTTTAGATTAAAATCTGTCAAGAAATATTTTGGTATACTGGATCCTACCTTGGGGTAAAGAGTTGAAGTAAATGAACTCACAGTGTCCCATTCATCCCTAGGACTTACGAGTTCTGTCTTCTTCTCTGTGTCCTTTAAGAATAGAAAACCTTGATACCAACTTTTCGGTCTAATGTCAACCAGTGATTTCATATCTGCTTCCAGTAAAGGCTCTGAAAGAGGGCACTTCCTAGAGTTTAACACTTGCCAGAAAGCAGTTGTTCTCCCATGAGAGGAGAGAGACAGTTCCCGCAGAGAACAAAGAGATGGTTTTGTCTGTATTGGTCAACTCTGTTCAAAACACCAGAGTGCTTAAGAGCATTAAGGAAGTATGCGAGACAAAATGCATCCCCATGTAAGCAACTTCTTCAAGGTTTGCATTCTGGTTTTTTCCCTATTAGACTTAAGTTGTCATTAGCTGATTTGGAAATTTAATGTCACATTTCTTTACACCTGCTGGATTATCAGCTTTAGAATTACATCACTATAGACAAGCAATTTAGAAGCAATCCCAAATTTTAATGGCCTCATAAGAAAAAAATATATGTCCTGCATTTGCTTTGCATATACTGAGGCCAACGCCAACAGAACAAATCTAAGCAGAATTCAGCATCACTTTTGCTTCCCTATTCCTTAACTAAAAAAATGTAACATTGTTTAGAGATGCTGAAAGATACAGTTCATGATCAAGCCTAGCAAATAAGCTTGTAGTTTTTGTATAGACTTTTCCTTCCTTTTAAGCAAGGACATTGTTACTGCTTTTGAGGTTCTTTTGACTCACCAAACAGCTGAATGGAGGTAGGAGAGGGTGTGGAAGTAAGCACCAGTCTTTAGTTTTTGTACACCGTGCCTTCACAAGGCTCTGGGGTGTGCTGCCACTCACCCTGCACTCCTTCCCCTGCTCTCCACAACAGCAATAGTGAGTTGTATCTGCCTACACCTACATACAGCAAAGTCAGTTTATGGGAAAGCCATTATTTTTTTCTAAGCATCACAGGCTCTAAGTCTTCAAGATCAGTGCCAGTGCTCACCTTCACATTCTCAAGTACATGAAAATCAAATACATACCAATTCTCCTTCTAGTCACCTTGTACTTACTTCTCTTAGCCATACAAGTATAGGTGAAGGATTTCATTTTAACAATAGCTTAAAGTAGCAGTTGTTGTTCTAAAGGCAATTGTTCATAGAAATTTAAAGACAGATAATTATTGAAATTACCTTTAAGGTTAGGCATTCTTTGTTATATGTTTTCTAAGAAAAATATGTTTCTTCCCATCTTCACTAGATTCCTTTAATTAGTTTGCTTATTTTCAAGAGAGAAAGGAAGAAATCATTTTGCATCTTTTTTTTCTACACAGTCGACAGTTAATGATCTTTTCAACAGAAATAAATAAATCATTTTGAGAAAAAGAAAAAAAGAAAAAAGGAAGTGCCTATACCAGAAAGTTTTGACAAGTTAAAGAATTTGGAAAGCAAGTTTTTAATTACTGTACTTTTTTTGCAGTGATCGTCTTAGTTGTTGAGTATAGGTGAAAAAAGTAAAACATTCAGAGAGAAAATTATGTTTGGAGTTGATTGTTGCATGAATACATTTGTCCTGTACCCGAAATAACAGCACCTTTTCTTTTCCTTCCTAATGGGGTAGTGTTTCTTCAAACAGCGTAATCTTAGTATGCAAACAAGTATACATTTTACTGAAATGTTTACTCTAGAGTTAAACATTCATATGTTCAGTCATATGTGACAAGAAAAAACAAACCCGTTTTTGTGATCTAGCAAGTGCCCCAGCCTCACCTCGGGAAATGATCAGCCTAAAAGAAAGAAAAACAGACTATGAATCAACTGGAACAAATGCCACTTACCATGGAAATAAGGGGGAACACACTTCCAGGAAAGACACCATGACAGGTGAGTTTATGCTTGCATTGCATATGTAAAAATCAGCTGTGATAGACCACTGATTTTATAGGCTTGGCTGGGTTTGCTGAATAAGTACTGGATCCTAATGAATAGAATGGTATGTGAAAATGATTTGTGCAGACCATGTTTCTTCAGAGAAGGCTATAAATCAGATTTATGTTTCTTTGTAACTTTACATTTTCATTTCAGAAGGAAGTTGGTAGATCACTTTGAATTAATTAGTGTTGTTTCTGCAAGCACGACAATGGTTGAGCATGTGCCCTACCATCTGTCTTTGACAGGGAATGGCTTTCCAAGGCCAGTTAGCTTATTTTGAACATCAGTCATCCCTAGGAAATTTGGTGGTGTTTGTGAATTCTGTCTGTGTTCGTTTCCCAGATGGGCTGATTTAAATACAGCAGTTTTCTCTCTGTGTGTTATGGCATCTATTGCAGGTTTCACCGAAGGCCTCTCCCCCCTGGTGAGCTCATTAACTTGTCAGCATTTCAGTAATTACAAAATTTTGAGTGCTTTGCCCAGTACTGCACCTCTTAATTAATTCTCTTGAAAAATACGTGTTGGTCTCCATCACCATTGAACAGGCTTATATAACCTTTAGTGACCGTGTTGTTGCACTTATATAGTACTGAGCATTGTGGTAGCCTCTTCTCCAAATGCGACCACAGTGAGGAGTCACTGCACATTCTAAATGGCTGTTACTGTCCCTGTGTCCTCTGTAGCAGTCTTACTCAGAGGATGCCACAGTGGGGGGTCTCTGGGTTTCTCAGCTCACGGGGATATCAGGAACATGCTGCCTCAGAATCAAGCCATCAGTACTAGTTTTCAAGACCGTATTCAGGATATCATGATAGTCATACTGCATCTACTGTGTTATTCACTGCTGCATAATCAAAACCTAAAGGCCAGCCTTTGTATGAAAATGCAATATGGAACATTAATTAGCATGGAAGTGAAAACGTGAAGATGAGGAATAACAAGAGCAATTGGAAACCACTGAAATTAAGAGTCTCCCGAACAACATCTGCAGAGTACTACGTGAGATTGCAGCAGATTCAGTCAAGGTACTGCATTTTATATATCTGTAATGTTTTGAGTGTTTCATAGTCATTGCACAAGGTGTTTCTAAAGCACTTCAGTGGTCCTTATTTGCGTGACTGTGAAGGACAGGACTGTTTCTTTCAGTACGTTGTCAAGGACCCATGAAGGGGGAATCTCAGGAGTAAGAACAGAAGGCTGAAAAGGCAGAAATATTAGCATTTTGGTTTAGCTTTATCTGAAAATTCAGTCTACCAGATTAGATTAGAAGGTTCACCCAAAAAGAAGTGTTCCCATATGGAAAATGTGTGTTTACTTACAGATAGTCTTGTCTTTTGCCACACATTAAAAAAAAAAACATAGAGTTTTCTTTTTCCCCAACCCTTTTCATTTTGTCTTTTACTGCAGTGCTTTCCTTCTCCCATTTGTGTTTCCCTTGTTTCCTTTATCTTTCAGTATACTTTTTGGAGTGTGAGCTTTGTACTTCCCCTGCAACCTTTGCTCCATTTTGAATTTTGCATCGTGTTTTCCTTTAATATCTGCTTGTATTTGTCTGTTCTTATTGATCTTTTGGGTGGACTTTTAGTAGGGAAACTTGAAAGACTCAGCGTCATGCTCAGCTGTTGACTATTTTTCCAACTACTGAGCTCAGTGAGAAAAATGAAAACCAAAATCAAGTTGAAAAGGGCAATAATATTTCACAATCACACATGACCATTTTACAAATTAATATTGAGTTAACAAATCACTTTCTCTTTCTTTCAGATCACCATATCTCTGCTCATTCGCTGTAAGTTCAAATTAAGCACCGTTCTAAGAACAAAAGAAAATGACAAAAGGAGTCTTGTGCCTCAACATTCAACATGAAATTTATGTAACATATTTGTAGCTCACCAAATAATAAATATTTCATTAAAGAATGATATTAAATCAGTGTTTGTAATTTCAATTGTGAGACATTTTGGCTTTATTTGAATGGTTTAATATATGTTCATGTAGCAAGTTCATTCTCTGCATTTCATTTTGTGGATCAGACAGTGCTTTGCAGCTAATGCATCTGTGAAATCTATGGGATAAATGTTTTTTTCAGGTTCCACCTGATGGATGCATATTTTGAGCTCCTCTTGTATGTTCTGCCAAGCTGATGTATCACACAAAGCATTCTTTGACTTACAGGTTTACACGGAATGTAAAGCCACAACTGTAGTTCCCATTTATCCATGACTGTCTCCGTGTTCTTCTCCAAAGCTCTTCCCAGTTTGTAGTTCAGAAATTTTACAGCCTCTTGGTTGGGACTGAAATGAAGGTTTTTTGATGGATTTTTGAAACAGAATGTTGGCTTCTCGCCATTGTGGGGAGTTGTTAGGAAACCTCTGGGTAAAATGGAGAATCTATGAAGTAAACAGTGTGGCTGAAGATAATAACTTACATCGATTTCACAAGGACAACTAAAAAAAAAAGAGGAACAGTATCAAAGTTCTCATTGCCCTTTTCACAGGTTTATGATGTTTTATATTTACTGTCCATCTCTTCTCTGTAGAAAATAATAACCAATAATAAAATTTTATCACCTAAAGTATATTTTTAAGACAAAACCTATTATATTTATTCAAAAAAAAAAAAAACTTTAGGTGCATGGGATAACTTTAATTATGCGATGGTGTTTTCCTTCAGAACAGAAGATAAGGCTACTGTATACTGTCATGGGACCCCTATTCTAAAGTTTCTTTTACTGTGTTAGTTCCCTCACTGAAGTAATCTGTGCATCACAGACTGCACCCTGTATCTTCACTTTCACCAGCAGAAGCATATTCTGATTAATTTCTTTTTGTTTTAAAGAATCAGTCATCTGTACTTTTGGTTTTTAAACTTGTTTTCAAGTCCACACATACAGAACACAACCGACCACCATCATCTTTTACAATAGCTACAGATACTAAGGCTAATCATTATTACTTTAAGAAACCGTAATACACTGTAATCTTTTCTCATGCCCTTGCCTCATCTTTCACCGTGCAGGAAGGTGGCAGTGGCAGTGACAGGTAATGATCTGTGGTAGCTGAGATTTGTGAGGCATAGAAGCATTTTGCTTTACTGTCTTGAACTAAATTTTAGAAAATGAGTCCTGCTACTTATATCAGAAAAAGCAGGTTACGTGATACCAGATGAAGACCACTTATACGTCTAGCTGAGTGTTCTTTTCTTACTACCAGTTTGTGTTTCTGAGGGAGAAAGACTGGCCTCTTGCTATTTCAAAGTACCTGTAAATGTGTTCAGAATAAGTACTTGAAAGAAATGAAAGCTGAATGTTAAACCATGAATCAAGTGACTGGGGTATATGAGGACAGCTTTGGTCAGGGATACCTTTGTCACATAAAACACAGTGTGACATAATTTTGAAAGCTGTTGTCAGCTTTGCAGAAAAGTGCTATGGGGAACCGTATGATTTTGTTGTTTAACCAGTATCACCTTGAAAACTAAATGGGGGGAAAAAAATAAGGTATTTTTCTATAATGTCATTTATGAAATACGACCACAAAATACTGCAGGTTGATCACAGTACTCATTTTAGAACCTTCACAATTTTACTTTGTAAAAACTGCTGCTTCAGTACTATCACATGCTGATGTTTAGGTACTGCATAAAATACACACACTCATCACTACCTCAGATCTTTTCATCTGTAGCCACAGTTCTTGCATCTCTGTAAGGAAGTGTGGCTGCTGGAAAATCTCCATCTCTTAGTCCTTGTACCCCTTCCCCTTCTCTTGCCATGTTTTAAAGAAGAACATTATTACATTAATGTTTATGTCTCCCTGTTTGAAAAATTTACTATGATAGTTCATATACAGCAATAACAGGAAAAATCAGATTCTAACCGCACAGTATCTGTCCATTCAGCTAGCTCATCCTCTCCCTTTTTTCTCTTATATTTGCCTTCTGCTTTTGGACAGCAAGAGTCAACTGCTCACTGAAGCATGGCAGAACAGGAACGGAGTTCCCAGGAATGCTGCCTGCTTGTTCAGAAGCAGGTACTGGAGCAGGCTGCATGCACTGCTAGCAGCTACATTGCTTGACTTACATTCTCTCCGGAGAGAATTATCCCAGCCTCCCAGTAAGACTAAGTCAAGATTTGAACTCTTGGCATTGATCTCCGAGTATTTGATGTGTCATTGGTTTTATTACATTAAGAAAATAGTGCTGCCTTTTTGATTATTTTTTCATTTTAAACTCGTGAATTTGTACTCATCACTGATTTCACAGCAGCACAGACCTTGCAGCTATTTTAATAAGTGAATACTGTCAATTTTCCATTGCAGAATACGGGATCTGGGAAACCTTAAGTCTTTGATCTGGCATGTGACAGTATATCAGTGCAAATGTCACAGTAATGAATTGGACAGCTATGCACCAACTGTAGACTATTTCTGGTTTTATAATAGTCATGGCTATTTACTGTTAGTGGCACCATATGTGCAATATGCCTTTTTACATACCTGTAAAAAGGTGGAAAGGTTATGATGCTCCTTAAAGTCTCTCTGATTGCCTGTAGGAAGAACATATAAATTAATTAGCATGTGTCCAGCTTGCTATTTTTCATCACATTCTTCATAAAACCCTCAGATGTCGGACCTTATAGCAGTCTTTTATTCTTGACATCAAACAGCCATGAATAGTATTGTCCGGTCTGGTCATGCCCAACTAAAATCTTGCTTGCGGGAAACTTCAACCCTCCTTATCCTGCCATCCATATACATGAAAAAATGGTTACAGGAAGTTTTTCATAGGTTTATGAGATTCCAACACATTGAATATCACTTCCATCTTTTTCAAGAAGTAGCACTTCACAAAATGGTTAGCTGAAATGCTAAGTATGAGAATCGCTGGATCTTGAGAAGAGGAATTTGTATAACCCAGCTTCTTGTACTTTGTGGGGCAAGCAGAAAGCTCAGAAACAGCATGAAAAGAAGATGATATCAAGGGAAGATCTGGCAGTTGTACTACTGAGGGTCATGCCGTCATGAGATGTACCATAAATAGCAATGCTGATACAGACTCCTCTAATACCAGAGACTGTCATCAGGAGGGGGATTTTTTAACTAAAGCAGAGGATGCTGCTGGAATAAATAAATAAATAAACAGACAAACAAACAAACGCTGAAATAAGTCTCACACACCACTCAGGTTAGGTGACAGAATGCAGCCTGAACAGAGAGAACCTCTGCAGATCAAGCTTTTGGCGCTTTACATCTAAGACAATCTGATCAAGCACTTCTCATTTCTATCTGTTATCATCTAGTAGCACAGACGTGCAGGTAAGTGTACCTGCCTCTGGAAAAGACCATCCAGCATCTGTTACCAGAGTTCGTATTCTTCCCACTTCAAAGAAAGGATCCGGCTGCATTCCTCAGAGACCTCCAGAGCTCTTCTCCATATCTTGTGCAAGACTGCACTGTCTGAGTAACTGCATCCAGCTCTTCAACAAGTTTTTTCACACCGATTAATGGTTATGAAGTGAAATGTCTTTTTTTTTTCCCAGCTATTAGGGCTCATCACCCTACCATATAATCCCTGTCTTTATCCTGTTTCAAGAGCACACTTGAGATATTTAAGAACATGATCTGAAATCTGTAAAACAGCAACATGGAGCAGAGGGAAGCATTTGTACATGCTGGGATCCATGCTAGCAGGTTGACAAAGGAAGAAAGAGTGGTTCTTCAGTAACTGTGATTCTTCTTAGCAATGTGGCTAGCATGGGTCCCATACCCAGCTTTCAGCTCTGATGCTTAGTCCTCACTACAAAAGTTTTTGAGCTGCAAAGGTATTAAAAGCAACACTTTGGTGCCTTCAGGTTTTGTACCATTACACAGGGACCTGAGAGAAGTCATGTGCCCAACGTGTTTCATCTCCAGTGATGACTAATTCACAACTACTCAACTTTTACTTTCAGGCACATGCTTTTATAATGAGAGTCCTCATGACAGTATCAAATCATTAATTCTTATGTCTGGAAAGCTAGTAACATGCATGCCTGGTAAGAGTGGTGCGCAGCAGCCACACACATGGACAAAAATTACTGCCATCTTTCAAATACTACACTTTCAGATATGAGAAATAACTATAATCTTTCTAGTTTGACCAGCAAACTAAGCTTCAGCTAGATAGCCAAATCAGTGTGATCAGTGAAGTCAGCTTTTCACGGGGTTTTGGGGGGCAGGGTGGGAAAGAATGGGTTATTTTGAAAACTGTGTGTTATCCTTTAGAATTACTTCTGCTTTCAAATTCATAGCTCAGTTTGCTCCCTGCATTTTAGAGGTAGGACATCTGAGAATAAAGTAGCAGCAGAGTTTCAGACTGTCTTGGCCAGACCTCTTCAGTATAACTACATACAGCTTTTTTTTTCTTTTTGCATAACTCATTTTTTCAGTTGTATTTAATCACTTTTTCCGTGAATAATTTTATGATACCATAGGCTAATAATCCACATCATCCAACTGAAGTGAAAGGACTGAAATGTTTCTTAATGTTTACAACTGTTGCCTGTTCACTGTATGTGTGGTATAAAATCCCATATGTAACCTGATATATCTTACCAAATACTAGCTATATATTTTGTTATTTATTGAAGTTATTTTGTTGGTTTATATATGAAATGCACAAGATTGACATGAACGTGACATAGCACCTTTTAATAAGTGTATACCATGTACATGCATGTACAGCAAAGCAAAAATTATGACTGTATAGTGGGAGGAAGAGAAAACAGAAATCTGCAAATGTTTTTGAAGCTTTTTTGTGGGGGGGAACAGGCATTTAATGAAGCCATAAGAATTCATTTTGAGGCCAAAGAGGTATGTTTGGTAAACCTGCTTTTTCCTTCGTTTTTCCCTTCTCCAGCTCAGAACACTGGAATCTCAACTTTGTACAGGAATTCGTATGGTGCACCTGCTGAAGATATCAAACATAACCAGGTAGGTGGAGAGACAAAAATGCTACAGTTCCAGTGTAACGTCTTACATGGAAATGACGAAAAACATTACAAAGATTGGTAAATCTAGATTAGAGGAACTGAGTCACCCGCTTGCACAAATGCTAGCAATTCCACTGGCTTCAAAGAAGCTATATTCCTTATGCTAATGGATAATTTCAATTAAATTTCAAAAATGTCCAACAGGTTATGATAGCATATGCAGAAAAATTATTTAAGGTGTTTAAGCCTGTAGTTCAGAATGAAGGCAAGAGAGGCTTGGGACCTGAATGCCTTTGAAGTTCTGGATAGATGCCACATCCCTAGAAACATTCAGAGCCAGGTTGGATGGGGCTCTGAGTAACCTGATCTAGTTGAAGATGTCCCTGCTCACAGAAAAAGACCCTTTGCACTATGGATGTGTATGGTAGTCATATGTCTGCAATTTCCAGTATATTATTTCTTTGGTCCCCAGGAATTACACATTTCATCATTACCTGTAGTGCTGCTTTATCCTTAATTACAACTCCTTAATAGTTTCACAACTTCCCTATGTAATATGCATAAGTTACAGTACTTTTATCTAAAATGAGGCCAAAAACATTTAAGAAAAACACTGAAAATTCATACTAGTATCAGACAGGTAAATTAATATGTAGTAAAAAAAGATTTTTCACCAAAAGGTTTTACTAGCTTACCTGAAATTTCTGTTTAAGAGACTGATATTTCAGTCTTAACCCACACACTTAAGGTGAAGAGAGTTTCTGATATTCTTTTCCCCCCTTTCTCTTTATTCTTTTTTTAATTAGACAGTATTTCCTGTAGTGCACCGTATTTCTTTGTGCAAGACAGTGCATGAATGTGTTTCTGCTTTTATTGCATTTAAGGAGGAAATAAGGGCATGAGGTGTTGAAGCAGCAGGTGCACTCTAATTGTAGTTGTGAATCAACCAGTTTGATTTGGGGGGCGAGAGTCTGAGCAAAACAAAACAACCCAAAGCCTACTAGTTTTCCACCTTTTCACACTAGCTTTCTCAATGAAATGTCAGGTTTATGATTGACATATTGGAAAGAATGTTTTTAGCTAAAAAGAATGCAGAAGTACTACTTCAGTCCCCTATTTTCTACTTAAAAAATGACCGTCTCTTAACTTTTTGTCATATAAGTAAGTTGCTTCAGACAGAATTTTTCTCCTGCATCCAAAATTAAACACCTGTGTTCGAATATATGAAATTAAAGGAGGAACTGAAGGTCCTGTACACCTGGATAGCAGTACTAGAAATACAAGCTAGAGTAGTTGTGCTCTCTTGTGCAGCTCTAATACTGCGCCCAGTCTTGTCAGATCAATCACTTGTGGGATTGTTAAGGCAGCAGACATAGGCAGCATTTTGCACCGTACGCATGGAGTCCAGTACAGATGTGCTTTATGCCACAGAGTTTGGGCCGTAGCAGTGCAACTCTTCCTCTCTTCTTAAAGGAGCATTATCAACTTTTGCAGAGTCAGCAGGGTATGCATTCTCCTGACACTACCATCTGAACACCAATACTCCAGGGGATGACCATTTGAAGATTGAAAAGCTGTATCATTTTGCAGTCACAAAACTGCCCAAGCTTACAGAGGTGGCATAAAGCAAAAGACAGCATTCCACTGAGATACTTAGCATGTGTTTACAGTTTTCAGATTGTAATTAAGTCCCAGATTTAAAACCAGAGACTCACTAAGGCTGCCTGCAAAAAACTTTATGGAAAACTTAGGTTTAGGGGACCCCCCAAGGGTTTTTTTTTTTTTGCATCTCATAAATATTTCAGCATCAAGGCAACTTCCTGGAATGTACCAACACCACAAGATTGCCAACATGAAGTGTTGAGGAGGTGGCAAGAAGATGGTGCTGCTTACAGTTAGCAGAACACATTTTAGAGCACTTAGCTTGAAATTTCCTCATGTCAGTGCCCTGCAGACTGTCAGTGGCTCTTAAGGATACGATACCACCCTAAATCTCACTTCTGGCAAAGACAGCTGCAAAATGTTTAGCATTTTTGGAGCGTATATCACTTCCATTCAAATTTTTCAAGGCTGAGTTTTGGCCACCAGTGTTTGTGTTATATAGCTGCAAAATAGTAAGTTACACACAGATTGTAGTTACAAAAGTAACTGTAAGCTGTGATGCTTGAACTTCATTTGAAGTAAACCATCATCTTGAGCCGCAGTAATATTAAATAATAAATTAAATAGATATAAAGAAAAATAATGACATGGCAAAGCTGTAGAATTAATTCACTACCAAGCAATACCTTGAGATGTTAAGCTAATGCACAGCTTGGTACTTCCAGCATGAAAAACGTGAGATTTACTCCTTCTTCCACCCTGTTGCCCATGATAAGTTGTATCTGACAAACCGTGGGTATTACTCTTTCAGGTTTCAACACAGCCAGTTCCACAGGAGCCCAGCAGAAAAGATTATGAACCATATCAGCCATTTCAGAATTCAACAAGAAACTATGACGAGTCCTTCTTTGAGGACCAAGTGCATCATCGCCCACCTGCAAGCGAATACAACATGCACCTGGGACTAAAGTCAACTGGCAACTATGTCGACTTCTATTCAGCTGCTCGTCCCTATAGTGAACTTAACTATGAAACAAGCCACTATCCAGCCTCTCCCGACTCCTGGGTTTGAGACTTGGGCAGATACAAAAGCTCCAGGAACTGTGCATGTGCATGCATACCACAAGACGTTTTTTTTCCTGCAGATTTAGTTTGTTAAAGCCTGTTCCATAGGAAGGCCCAGATAACCAGAATGGAAAAATTTAAGAGATTTTTTTTAGAAGGCTAAAAGATACAAAAGCTAAACCTGGGAGTAATTAGAAAGAAATATATATACATATATATATTTTACAGTGTGGGGCAACTTTACTGTTGACCTGTAGAGTCTAAAGTTTGGTGCTGTATATTGAATGTGGCTGAAGGAAGGAGGGAGAACATGGCAGTGGATGTGGGTCAGGAGTTAAGCACAAGTAACTGAGCAGCGTACATACTTTATGGGGAACAGCTTCTCACACTTTGTTTAATATCCTCATTCATTGTGAATCTAGGCTTCAAGTTGCATTTGGGGTTTCCTCTGTACAGCAAGATGTTTCTTGCCTTTTGTTAATGCATTGTTGTAAAGTATTTGATGTACATTACAGATAAAAAAGAAGTGCATTGTGTATATTACACCAATGCCACAGTGTTTCTTCATCTATGGTTCTAAATATTGCTTCAATTTCAAATTTTGAAAGATGTATGAATTTCCAGGTTTTTGTTTTCTTTTCCCCGGTGCGTTTTACCAAAAAAAAAAAAAAAAAAGAAAAAGAAAAAAAAAGAAAAAAAGAAAAATCAAAAAAACAAAAAGGAATATTTAGCAGTATTGTTTGTTCTGATATGTGAATTTGTTTGTGGCAACTAAAAACAAAAAAAGGCATTCAGCAGTTTCTGACAATTAACATTCATCATTCCACACTCCTTGTCAACAAAGTGCTTTTTCACTGCCTAAAATTTTAGATGTAGATATTTGAAATAGATTTTTTTCATTTATACCAGTTTTCTTTATGATGATACAGTGTTAAAAGAAAATAAATTACAATTGATCTGTCATCCATATTTGCTAAGAATGTCTATTTCCAAGAACCTACCATACAAATATACATTCTTACATGTGTGTGTCCACGTATGCATAGTATCCTGTGTGCGTGTGTGTGTTTGAGTGTGTGTGTTTGTGTGGCGTAAGACTTCTTCTCATCCAATGTTTTCCTTATTCAAGCTTCAATTTTTGTTTGATTTTCAGTTCTTTTAAACAGTGGAAACTCCAGTATGTGCTTTCTCTTACTCACTTTCTTAACCATTGATAGCAATTCAAAATTGTCTGGCCACAACAACTCACAAAAGAAGGGGTTGTCAGATTTTTTTCACTGACTCCTTCACCCTTAGGTGCCATTTCCTTTAAAATAGCATCTCTTGATCTTCTCTTCAGGAAATTTCATTCCTCTCCAGCCACCAACAAGTGCTTGAGGAAGGAAGAGTTTGATCTTGCCATCTCCCTGAGGGAATGGAAAACAAAAGACCCAACAGACTAAAGTCTGGAGTCTCCAAACTCTTCAGTTTCATAGAAAGGTCCAATTCCTGAACTGTTAGGACAATCATTTTTTTTAACCCATATTAAAAAGAAAACCCAACACCCAGAATACATTCCTCAAATATGAAAGATACCGACCCATTTCTGTGCATTTAAAGTAAAACCCAAAAGAAACGAAAATGTAAGGGACAGAGATATTTTTTATTATCATTATTATTTAAAAGAAAAGGAAGCTAAGCTAGGAGGCCGGAAGAGCTGGCATATTCATCTTAGCTCTTGAGATTCTGGAAATTAAAGAATTTAGCATTTTTTCATTTCTTTGGTTCAGGCAACAGTTCAGCATACTGTTTTCACAGTGTAAGACCTACCACAAATGGAGTAGTTGTAAGTTGCTTCAATTGCAGTTAAAGAGTTTGTTTTAGGTTGCAGACATCCCTGTGGTTAGTCATTGTAATAGTCTCACCATCACCTGGCACACTTCTGTCTGTGCGCAGGGGGAGAAGTCTCTCGCGAGTCATCGCCTGCTCTGTAGGACGCAGCCTGAGTAGTTCATGCAGGCGGGTGTTGTGACGTAGCATTGGTTTATCGGTAATCTAGGACTATAGTTGAGTATCTTGGCAGCTTTTCCCAGTGTACGATATGTAACCTTATCTGCTCTTTGTAGTAAACGGGGGAAAAAAATCGCATGCAAAAAAATTTTTAACACATGTAAGACAGGGTGGGTGGGAGGACACAGTGGGCCAGATGTATAGCAAGGTAGATAAAAATATTATTCATAGTTTTGGACACAGGTTGTTTATATTTTATTTATTACATTGGTTTTAATAAGTGACATTTGCAGTGCTCTTTTGAACAAAGCACGTTTTCAGTATAAAAGCTTTTTTTTAATAAAGAATGTCACTCGCAACTTGAAGTTCTTTGTGACCGCCTGATAACCACCAGGCTGGTGCGGTTCTCCAGGCACCACATTGCCAACAGGCAGAGGGGATCTGTCATTCTGTTTGCAGTTCGTAGGACAGGAGGTTATTGTAAGTTGGATTTATTTCCATTCTTCAAGCTACTGAAACGCCCACGTTGCCCCCTTTCAGCTCCTCTTAGGAATTACTTGGAGACAAATGTTGACCATTGCTCAAGTGAGAGATTCCGGATCGATCAAGTGGCATAAAAGACCTTTTGTCTATATTTTGTGGTGTTTTGTTTCCATTCTTCTGTAGTGGCAAGTGCTCCGACTGATAACGTTCACTCTTGCTGTACTGAGTTTTGAGAAGGTGTTGAATTACCCAGCTTCTTTTCCAGGCTTGGAAATCCAACACTGCTGCCATACTGAGCAAGATATATCTATGATGCATTCTTTTTAATATGGAGGAAAGTATCATTACCTATTGCTGTTCCCTTCATTCTTGTACTAGATCACACACAGAAATAGAGAAGAATCAAAACTGTTCCAAAAACAAATGTATAAAATGCAATTGATGTACTGTAAAATGTTGGATTTTTTTTTTTTAACAAGCTTCGTATTAGAATCTTGTTCAGCTGTGTAGAGCTATATAAATCTCACTGTTTTATTAAATGCTATTTATGGTCTGGAAGGAATGGTTAACCTATCTCGAGATTAACAAATTTGCACTAACATGAGCAATATTGATTTGAAAAAAAAATATGAATTCAATATTTAAAAGATAAACTATGATTTTAAAGGTATATTAACACTGAAAGTACGTTTTGACAAATAACATATTTAAGCCCAAAATATAAATGGTTATGTCAGATAACACAAAAGAACTATAACAATATAGATTGAGACAAAAAAATGTGTTTCACTGTACATGTTGCTAACATGTACAGAGACAAACTCCTACTGACATATTTTCTATTAATAAATCCTACTGTATTGTGGAGAATTGCTGGTCACAGTGCAATATGTTTAAATTCAGAAGCTGACTCCATAGACTGATGCCTAGGTTCACACAGCCAACAAATACCATTATTTATTTAAAGTGTTAACTTGATACTTCCAGCTTTCAAGTCATTTCCTCCCCCATCCCTCTCCACCAGGTTTATAAGCTCAAAGTACTCCACAACTCAAAGCGAAGGGGAGAGGTATTTTTGAGACCTCCCAACTCATAGCTGCAAGAGTCAAGCTGCCACTGCTTACAGAGAGATAGTTGAACGACACCAGTAGGAAGAAACTCAAAAGCTGAAGGCTGGTGCCACTGAATAGGAACATGCTGTAAAGATGATTCTGGCCCCAGTGTTACCTAGACCACAGCCAAGAAACAAAAAGCAAGCCATTAATTTACTTGTGCATTGCTGGGAATCTCGGCATGTGCTCCATGTAAGGGCTCAGGAATAATTGTTTCCTGTAACTGAGTTGCATTAGCCTGCAGAAGCATCTCGCTGGGAGACTTACAGCTCAGAAACACCGACTTACTTTTTATACCTTGGCACAGCGCAGGCTGTGCAAGCCAGTGTGCTACAAGGGAAGTTCCTCAACTCCTCCACCTGTTATTCATCCTCTCCTGCCAGCAATCAGAAAGAGCCCTGGTTTTAGTGTTACTGCTTGTATCAAGAGGAGTGGGAGAGATGGATACAGCAATCTGAGGCAGGGAGATGACACACAAACAAGAGCCCTAAAAATAGAGAAACTTGGAGCTTGTGTGTGAAGACAGATACACACCCATAATTACTAACAGTGGAATGGACCCAGCAAGAGATTTTATGCACTGAGAACATAAATATGACTAACAGCCTAATGTAGTGGAAATTGAATAGCAACAGCCTGATACACAAAAAGCTTTATGCTAGAAAAGTGGGAGGGAGCAGCAGAGGGATATCACAGGTCACCACTGGGCACTTCCAGCTTCAGCCAGCAGATGCTGGGCAGGAGGGCAGAGACTGCTTACTGCTGTGAAGGAGAGACAGGAGGGATGAGGCTCTTGATCAAAAACTGTAAGTCAAAAAGACCTTAGCAGCCAAAACAGGCAACTTTTTGCAAGCAACTACACACACAGCTTGCCCACCATCTTCAATGGAAGAGTGTGGTCCCCCCGCTCTACAGCTACATGGACAAAGTGCACATAGGATTGCAATTTGAAGCAATAGGTGCACCAAAATCTGGTGAAGACCTGTGCAGTGCTTTCTTTTTCCAGGGGACTAGCTGGTATTTAAACAGTGACCTAAAGCCAGTTTCGGACATTTAGGCTGAAAATGGGAGATTTGAGTTTCATTCCCACGTGAGGGGGGATTGAAGCGTGCAGCTGATACCTATAGGGAGCAGGGCATCCCTGCCTACCAGGCACTTGTAAAAACTAAGTGAGAAAAGCAGTGACTTACCATGTCTTTTGATAGCCTGGGTTAGGGGCACTTACTCCTGACTCTTGCTCCAGTCTTCCAAGGGCCACATCAAACAACTCCATCTAACACAAACACTTAAACTTCTCCCCAATGTGCCCAGGTTTTGCACCACCTTGACCACACCACATCATTCAAAAGATGGTACAGGGTACATGGAAGAGCACTGGTGCTGGCCAGGCACAGTACTCTACTAAGACACCAGGCATTATTCCTAAGTCTAATTCCCAGTCAAACTCACTGTAGTATTTTTAATCCAATTATAAAGCAGCTTCCTTCCTCTGTGGGCATTGGTATTGCTTTACCAGAAGAAAGCACATGCTTTGTGTTTAAGTATAAACCATTTGCTTACACATCGTTTTAAAGACCACAGAAGTTCCTGTAAAGGCTTTCACCTGCTTCACCAAGCCATGTATCAGGCCAAAAGTGAAAACAGGTGAAGAATTGCTGCAGTCTTCTCAAAGGATAAGCACCTAGAGGTCACTCTTGCCAGCATGCCAAAGGCTCCAATCTTCAAATAACTAAAAAGGAGAGAAAAGGCAAGTTATTTACTAGTACCTGTCAGTCCAAATTTACTATGGAGCCTTTGGCTCTTTCAATTTTATTTTCACTGCTTTAAGAGAGTGACACAAATAAAAAGTACTTGCTGTGACGGATTGTTGTAGTTAATTTCAGTAGCAGATGAGTAGTTTTAAACACCAAAATACCTTTCTTTTCCAGACAGGCAGAATCTGAAGCTTGCCACTAAATCGGAGAAAGCAAAATAGCAGTGGTTTGCTGATTCACTATTTTTCACAAATTCAATTGAAGTATTAGTTCACATAACCTTTTTCAATTATATATACAGGCCAGTGGCAATGGAGATTACTTTTTTTACATTATTTACTTACTTTACATGAATGTTACATAGGCAGAAATTGTTGATGACTAAACATGTCAAGATAATAAATAGGATATCAAAGCTGAAGATAAAATTGAGGCTACTATACAGATGATCAACTATTACTTCTGTTTGCCATCCACTGATAGTGAAGAGTATGAAGCCTAACATGCTGCCCCTTACAAGGCCATCTGTCAAGGCACGGGTGAAGCCCCACAGTTCAGCCATCAATGTTTTCATGAAATATAAGCAAAAGTATGTGTTTGGGAAGTGAAACAGCAGGTCTGTGTC